TGTAAGGCATTTTCTCAATTAGTGATCAATGGGGGAGGGACCAGCCCATGGTGGGTGGTTCCATCCTTGAGCTATAAGAAAGCAGCCTGAGAAAACCAGGGGAAACAAGCCAATAAGTTTGTTTAGTTTCTTTAAGTTGGTTAGATCTTGGATCTTTTCTAGTTTTTTTCTGGTCATGCTATTGATGTTTTAATTTTCATTTTCCAAATTGACATCCAAATTCTATAAATTACACTACATCTCATAAATTCTGATTAGTTTAACTTAACTAAAATATTTTCAAGTTTCACTTTCAAAATCTTTGTGCTTTAAAAAATTTAATATTTAGTATGTATCTTTTGGAATTTTCCCTACTGTGTTTCAGTACAGATTTCTAATTTAATTCTACTACCTTGAAAATGATTACTCACATGATTTTATTCCTTTGAATGTGTTGTTTTATGGCTCAGAATATGGCCTATGTTAAAGAATGTTTCAGTTTCTCTGTGCGGATTGTGCATTGGGCTGTTAGATGCATAATTTTGTAAGTGTGTATATGATAGCATTGATGGACAGTGTTATGAAAGTAATCTTTTTGTCTCCCATCTCCTTAGTGACAGAGATATTGAAGTCTTCAGCTGTCATAGTGAGTTAGTCTATTTTTCTTGTGATTTCATCAGTTTTTCCTGAAACATTCTGATAGTCCTTTGTAAAGTACTATACTTTTAGCACTGCTGGGTTTCTTGAAAAACAGAAGACTCTCCCACATTAAATATTCCTTTCATTTCTGATAATCCTCCAAGTTTAGATTGGCTGGTTTTGACTCATATTGGCATTGCATGCCTTTCATTGGTCCATGACACTGAAGTTGGTGCATGTTTGTGTTTAGAGAGTTTCTTAAAGCAATATATAGTTGAACCTTTAAAAAACAGAGTAGCCATCTTGTTTTCTAATTGGTATTTTCAAATCACTCAAAAGAAAGTGCTTTATTTACTTAATTTATATGTTTATAATAATTTCTATTACTATACCTGTTCTTTGATTCTTTTAAGTCTTATCTTTTTTTCTTCTGTTCTCTGCTTACAACTGGAAACTATGTAATTCTATTTTCTTTCTGAGTGTATCTTTCGAGATGGTCAAGGTTCCTTTCCATCCTTACCTTTGCCTCTTTTATCTTTTTTCCCTTCTTATTTTCTTCCTTTGCTTTCTCCTCTGTCTAGTTCTGCTTTTTTTCTGTCTCTCCATGTGCTTCTTTCTCTGCGTCCCTCTACCTCACTCCATCTTCATCTCTCTGTGTTTATAGTATTTACATGTTTTAAGACTTAGTGGTTCTCTGTTAAGATCTTTTCATAAATTTGGCAGGTTCATAGATACTGCCAGTTCAAATATTCTGTTACTTCATTCTTCTTAGTTTTCTTTAGAGCTGCAGATTGTGTCTGTATTACACCTGTTGAAATTGTTTAACTGTTCTTAATGTTTTTTGCTCTTCCCCCTGCTTAAGCTTGTCTTTAAGAACTTTATACACATGGTTAACATTCAAATTAACTCTTTTCATGTCATTTCGAAGATCTGTAAATCTTTTTTGTTAACAGGTTACTGGTTGTAGATTAAGTTCAATCTCTGGGATCCAACTGTGTTTGAAGTTTGTTACAGCTGTAGGTGCTAAATTCCTTCAAATTCTTTGCTTTCCTTGGGACTTTATTATTACTGCTTGGTTTTTTTTATTGTCTTTGTGACATGATATCATGTATATCAGACAAGATTTGAACTTATCATATAACCAGGGATAACTCTGCAGTTCTGGTTCTCCTGTCTCTACATCCTTAGTGCTTGAATTACAGGTAAACAACATGCGTGATTATTTTGTGCAATGATGAGGATAAAACTCAAGGTTTTTTTCCCTCAATAAGCAAATAAATACTCTACCAATTGAAATAAATCCCTAGTACTGTCTCCTAACTTGCATGATGTATTCACTTCCTGCCTTGTCCCAACTTTTCTTATGCTTCCACTAGGAAGACCTGATACTGGCCTTTGTCCTATCTGACTTTCTTTAGTCTATGCTGCACTTTAAATGATTTTAGTGACATAACTTTCGGGGTATACACAAACTGAACATGCACTTACTTTAAAGAATAACTATAAAATTAAATATAAGAGAAAATCTGAAACTCAGTTTAAATCATACTTTTCAGATTTCCTGATGATGCTTAAGTCACCTTTAAGATTCGTAAAATTTTGTAAATCCAAAAGTAGCAACCGGTTACAGAGATATTTTGTGTGAAGGTACAGAAACACCATATGTCAAGTCTACCCAATCAGCTAATACTGGAGCAGATAAAGTGTTAGTCATGATGATTCATCACTGAGGTCAGTCTCAGGCACCAAATTTTGAGAACTTTTCTTTTTAAATTGCCAAAATATGTAGGCATATCAAAGAGTTCCACAATAACTCAGAATGGAGTAAAATAAAGGTTTATTTATTTGGGGATCAGCTCACTGTAGTGGTAGTAACTCCAAGTCCTCTGTGTGCACTGGCAACTGGGAACCAAATTCATCAGAAAAATAAGAGACTGCACATGCTTTTTATCTGCACTTATAATACCTGAGACCATACACAAAATGGGTTGGTATCTAAGACTATTGGTGGAGAAGTTCCTACATGCCCCCCTGTATGCTGTGAATAAGTTTTATTACCATTGGTTATTAAAAAAAACTGCTCTGGCCTATGGCAGAGAAGAATATAGAAAGGCAGGAAATCAAAGCAGAGATAGAGGAGGAAAGAAGACAGTCAGGAAGATGCCTTGTAGCTGCCAAAGGAGAAAGACATCAGAACCTTACTGGTAAACCGTGAGCCTTATGGTAAAATATAAAATAATAAAAAAGGGTTAATTTAAGATGTAAGAGCCAGATAGAGATATACCTGAGCCATCAACCACAGAGTGTTGTAATTAATATAATTTTGTGTAATTATTCAGGTCTGGGTGCCCATAAAATGAAAGAACAGTCTCTACTTACAATTGCTAGTAATCATCATACATCATCAGAGAAATATTGTCTAGGAATACCAACAGACTGAATGATCTTTAACTGACTATGCAATAGCAATGATCTGAAGTGTTTGAGAGTATGTAGTGTTCTGATGTACTAGAAATTATACTGTAAGTCTTACAATTCCTACTTCACTCATTATAAATACAGCAATAAGATGCTATCTCATGGGTATGGAATCTCTTGGATGCCTAGGTCTTTTGATATTTCCTCTGGAGAGTTAGGAAGGACAATGTTACATGAAGTATGGAGTTATATTTTGTTCACAAATAAAGTGAACTTTTATATTGTATGCAATGCAATGATAATGTCACCTGCATTTTTAAATACTGCCAAGCACTGTTTAATGTCAGAACATACAAAAAATAGCAATGGGCATTCTTTTACACTCAACATTTTTTATGCAGTTTACAAATTCTACACATATAAAAATCCTACTGCTATTAACATTTTCCAGAAAAGTTCCTTAATGGTCCTTGAACATTTGAATTTAGAATACAACTCCCTTCCACTATTGAGGAACTGGGTCAGATATGGGCTGGAAGGGCCAAGGAAGGAAGCTTAGTAAGAAATTCAAAATTCATTCAATGTAACATCGTTCTTTCTGTTACAGCACTGAAAGTGAGTTGCAAACCTTGTAGGCAGCAGTCTACCCAAAATTAACACTACTATATATATTGGAACCAAGAAGGAATGTGTAAAGCCAATGGTACTCCAGGGGCACTCAGTGAATAAGACCAGCCTAAGCTACTTAACTTCTTACCTCTAGCTGATGTGCTCTGGAAAAGTGGCATCACATTGTGTTTTTGAACTTCAGCTCAGAGAAGATTCAAGACTTTGGGACTGGAGTCTGAAACAACTATTTTTCCAATTGATTAACTTATAACTAGAGTTTACATGTATTCTGTGGAATTTTGATATATAGAATAGGCCTCTGTAATTGACACATATCTAGAGACTGATGCATGATAGAAACTCTTCATGAACACATTTGAGATTTTGTCAAAGGTAAAGTTGAAGATTTAAAAATGTGTGTCAATTATAGTTCCAATAGTGAGAGATGATTATGTGATATTGTTTGCTGTTGATTTCTGACCATTATCTGTGACTAAAAATAAGCAGTTGGCTCAGGGAAAGAGAAGAGGCAGAAGGAAAGCAAGTGAAGGATGAAGAAAAAAGGAGTAGGAGGAGGAAGAAAGAGGAGAGTAAGGGGGAGAAAGAGTTAGGGGAGTGGGGGGAAGAGAAAGAAAGGATAGAAAGAAGGGGGAAGAGGAGTGGGAGGAAGAGGAGGACAGGGAAAAATGGGGAGAAGGAATCTGATCAGGATGACCTCTTGCTTTTCCTTATTTTCTTATTTCTAGTCATTTTGTGATCTAAGTACCACTTTGCTGTTAGAGCTTATCCCTAATATTGGCACATATCAAAAATAATTAAAAGGAGGAAAGAACAAAAATCAGAAGATATTCCATGTCCTTTATTTGTATTTTGGAGGTAGCAAGAACTCAGTAAGCATTTAGTGATTGGCTAGACTTGGAGATCATTCTCAGCATCAAACAACAGCCAGATATTCTAATGCCTAAATAATAGGACAATTCACATTTTCATTGAATGTTAGATATTCTAGCCAGTTCTTGCTCAAACATTTATTTTAATAACTCATCATATGGATACCAAAATTAGATCAATTTGTTTAACATATTTTTTGAGTAACTTGGAAACAGACATAGCTAGTTTGTTTGTATGTTACAAAAATAGTAGAGTGGTTGCTTTGGGACTGTGCCCTGTGGCATGTACTCACTAAATATTGTCTTGGATGTCAGCTCTAAGCTATATAAACCATTACATTCTTCATAAAGATACTTTCCCCAGCAAAAATAAATAGTCTCCATGATCTTAATTGTGACAAAGGGGTGATAACCCCAGCAAATTTACATCATTAATTTCTTATGGAAATGGCACAAAAATTGGTATTTAGAATCAGTTGTGTTTTATTTGCTGTTTAGAAAGAATGGATATTGTCATTATCACTCCACTCTTAAGCATTTTTTTTCAAACCATGTAGCATCAAACAACCCTAGACATTTTTTTTTATTGTTTTTCTTGCAAGTTTGTGTGGCTATAGTTCCTCATAAAGGGAACTTTCACATTACTTGACTGTGTGATCAGGATATACAATTCAGTTTGGTTTCTCCAGAATTGAGAAACTTTCTTTAGTGACATGCATTTTTAGAAGGGGAAATAATCATTAAGAAACTAACAATAAGGGCTTAGTTAATATTTAACCACCAAGTTTGAGAAACAGGCTCAGCAAATGTGTATCTAGATAGTGCTACATTCAAATGACAAAGACTGCTGTATCATGAGAAGAAAATTACCAAAGGAAATCATGAATCATCTCACCACCGGACAGTTAGCATTATATGAATTTTAATTTTGATGTCCAATCTTGCTGCCAAATATTAATTTTAATTAATACCCTCAATGAGTGAACAGAAAGATAGAAGAAAACCCAAAGTCCAATTACATCACATTGTCTAAGTCACTTATGCTTTCTGGGTGTCTTTTCACTTGTAATCAGACAATAAATAAATTGTATTGACATTGTTAATACTAATGTTCCATGATTTCTTCAAAGCAAATTCAACCCAATGGAATTCTAACTCTATTGCAATATAAGGTTAGAGAAATACTGGAAATTGATAATAAATTCTCAGTAACCTTACAAATAATAAAGAATTCTCTTTAACTTTATTTTGAAAACCACAAGCTCATAAGCGATGAAAGAAGTTAACATTTTAAAGGTTAGCAAGATATGATTGTCAGAATTCTGGTTAATTACAAAGTTACATTCATCACATGACAAAAATGAACGGAAATAACTATTACAGTGCTAGGAAAGCCAAATAAATTATGGGTAAAGCTATTGAATTAGTTCAAAATTTCATTCATGCAGAGTTGTGGTGAAAAATAATATATCAGATGTTTTACCCTTTTTAAAGTAATGAAGCAAAATTTAAAGTTGTGCGACCATGTTATCCTCTTTGTATCAATGCCACTTGTGAATTTCTTGGAATTAGAAGAACTCAATAATAATAGACTAGGCGTATCTCTTAATGATTGAAATATGTATAAAATGATAAATTAAGAAAAACAAATTCTTCAACTATGTACTTTTAGTGAAGGGCAAAAACCACACCCACTAACTTAAAAACAACTGAAGTTCTTAATTTTATTATTGCCTTATAACATTTTATGCTTAAAAACTCATATTTACTCTCCATGTACAGTGTTTTACTTTGCATTTTATTCAAAAGTTGAGTTTCAACTAATTTTTAAAGTCCAGATATCCCTAGACTATTTATTTGGAATAGATTATAACTAAGAATAAGACATGGTAACTCATGTTTTCCAATTGAAGTAAATTGTGGTGGTGTTTTATCTCTTAATCATGGATCAATGTCCTGTTAATTAATTTTACCAAAATTTTCATAATCATTATATTTGATCAACAACAAAAATGCTATCTCTTTATAACAACAAATCAGCAGTAGACTTTAGAAAGTATATACAAATTATTTAAATAAAGATTTACAAGAAGCAGAAATATAATGTACAATTTAATATATTTTTGAGGTCCAAAGGGATAAATATTTTATAACAAATGATTCTTTAAAACGATAAGTGCCCACAGAAAACGGAGAGAGTGGGTCAAAAGTCAAAAGTCAAGAGTGTATCTGTGAATTTGAGTATGTGTGTTGGTTGGGGTGCAGAGAAGGAACAAGGGAGTCATGGTCTTTTGTCCCCTGCAGTGAAGATGACACTGACTGGCCTTCATGTTCAGAAGAACAGGTTTGCTGGTGTGTGGTTCATATTCTGCCTCTTACAGCTAAAATAACAGTGTCTAAGAAATAGCAAAAAGCAAACTACATCATAAAGCTCATCTCTAGTGTGTTCTGTTTCTCCCATCTAGCCATTAATCTACTTCTCTCTATATATACTTTTTGTCCATATTAAGCATTGTTTATTGAGCTATGCAATAGATTTATGGATATGGATTTGACTGATCATATTTGTATCATAATTTGTATCTCATAATTATCATTTTCAGTTCTGATATATGTTTAATATGAAAGTACTAATATCACTGTGTTATTTGCTTTGCCATCTTGTTAGGTTATCAAGTAAGTGATCGTTAATAAGTATAAATTTCTCAAGATGGTTCTTTTGAGAGTGATTCTGCAGTAGCTTAAAATTAAATCATTTTTTTCTTGGAATTTGCGTTTATAAAATTCAAATACTTGATTCTTTTGAGATTATAGATACCTTAAGTGACTTCAGTAATAGAATTTTATCCACTGTACCACTGCTGACAGCTCGGTAGCTTACTCTAGTGATAAATATTCTGTCTACAGAGAGAGTTAATTTTATGTGCTCTATCTAAAACCATCCTGAGAGAGACAGATATTTAAGTTATTTGTATTATCCACTAAAATTTGTTCAGAAAGTGATAACATTTTTAAATAAATTATTTTTCCGACAATCAGCATGAACACTTCAGATTAGTGATGTTGGCCAAGAAAATTAAATAATTTAAAATTAAAACTTATTGTATATGTGAAATTACTACAGGGGATATTTCTATACAAGTGAATTTTTCCTTTACAAATATTTACAAGATCATACTACATTAAGCTTGGGGACAGTATCTGAAACTATTTTTTCTTTTTTATTTAAATTTCATATAATTTAAATAATTGCCTACTTAAGTGCATAACACTTGATGGATATTAAAAATTCTATTCTCTCAATTTTTTGAGAATGGAAATTGTGAGGTTTCCATGAAAGAAGGTAGCCCTAATGCAATCATTTATCTAACACAATTGTGACAAACGTCATTGACAATGGAACCAAAAATGTCCTCTGGAGGGATAAGGAACTCCAAACTAATAATCACGGTTACCACAGAGCTGTTAGTGGGGTAAAAACAATATGACAAAAAGTAATCAAAGAACAACAAAAGTCTCCTTAACTTTTACTTTGCTTATTATTTGAGGTAATAAAGTACTTGATGACAATCTATAAATGGAAAGCTTATAGCAATCAATGCAGTGAATTACACACAAAGAAACTTTCTGCATATCCTTGGTGATGAGTCCAAGAGGAAGAAAAATGTAAAAAGGAAAGGCAAGCACTTCAGCATACAAAGGCTTAAGTATTCTGAGGCCACATGTTATTCTCCAGTTTCCAATACGTTCTGCTGAGAGATGGGTGGAGCCAGGGAACAGTCACGGTCTGAAACAGGAGAAAAGCATCCCCAGCTGTCTATTGCCTCTGAACAAATTACAACACCCACAGGTTTCAGTTTTCTTCCAGGGAAACATAAAGCAAATCCTTCACTCTGTATGACCTTTAAATTGCTGCTACTGCTTAAGCCTATCTAAAAAAAAAAAAAATGCCTGGTTTCTCTCTCAAGATTCTTGCAAAAACTTGTTCAACTATTTAAGCCTTTTTCTTTGAGAATGATTGTAGAAAAGTTTCAAGGTTTATATTTTTGAGTAAGAAAATGTGGCTTGTGGTAAATACACACACACAAAGGATCTTTCTAATCCATTTACAGAGTATGCAGATATGGTGATATGTGTTTCTCATCACACACTGAGCAACCAGCCATTTTCACTGATAACACAACAATATGGTGAAATTCCCAAGAGATTGCTTTCAGAACGCAATTCCTGTATTGCTAAAATTGTAGCTTACATAGCTTCTTTTGTGTTAATTTTTTTTTCACAAACTGAAAGCTGAAGTTGGTACTGTGCTTTCTATGCTTATGTCAAGACATAATGTGACTATATATTTTTAAGCTGCGCATAATACTAGATGAATAGCAAGCAGTGAAGAAAGCAAAATCCATACCACAAAGTATGAAGTTAGAATCTTGGAAAAGTAGGGTTCAAGAGTTATGCAGGTTGTGACAGTGGATTCTTTATCATTTTGCTCAAATTATCCTACTGATTGATCATTTCCCTTTGACTTTATTTCTTCCATGGGGAATTCTAATAAATTTCATAGCCTATGAATACATTATAAATTTCATAGGATTGACATTAATTTGTATAGTATATCACTTTAAAAAATATGAGTACATACTCAAATGACACTTTTCTGGGTCTATTTTTTGAGAAGGTGATCGTCCAAAGATTATGTAGCTAATAATTATAAAAAATAAGTTGTCATTGCACTATTTTGATAGACACATTAATAGATTTGAAGCAGTCATTAACATTATATTTGTACTTTATAAGACATGAAAAATTAAAGGCCTAAACCTCAGGACCACTGAATGAATATTGCCCATTTATACTGGTGTGTTAGAATAGTCAAGACTGGACTACAATTTCTTACAATAGTGTAGTTTCCTTAGCTTGTTTTCACTGTAGCACTATTGGCTAATTTGTAAGTGGTTCCAGTAATCAAAGAAACAAATTATTCATGCTTTCTTCAAAACAATATTTTGTGAGATCTTGGTCAAAGAATAAGGGTTAGACATTGATCTTTGTGATGTATTTTTAATATCCACTACAAGGATACCACATGCAATAAATAGGATTGTAAAGTCTACAGCTAACAGTGTGAAGGTACTGGTTACCTCACTGCTTCTATGTCAGATGAGAGATATGAATGGCTGGTCATTTTATAAGGAGGATGAATTATTTTCAAACAAAATATCCAGTGAAGTCAAAAGAACTACACACTGGTACTAGTAGTCTAGATACTAGAACAAGGAAAGGTTTAGTCCTAATAAATATGCTTCTCTTCTTTTCACATGCTCTATCAAACAACATATTACCTAATATATGAAACAATGGTTTAATTCTGAACCAGCAAAGGCTCACTCTAGATATCTATTTTATATTTTATTAATTTCAAATTATGGCAGTGGCCAGAAGCTACTGATTCAAAACTATTTCCAACTGGTCTAAGTATATTATTACTGAGTGCCTATTTTTTCTTCAGTCACTTGGTGAAAAATGTGGTTTTGTACAAACCCCCATGCCACCAGAATTGTAAAAATAGTGGACCAAGGTTGTTTACTCTGCATATTTACCACAATGATAAGTATGTGTTACAGGTTGTATGTATATTATCAGAAGAAAAACACTAGGGTAGAAAAACCAGCTCTCATAAAATATTTAAGTGAAACATGTATACCTTCAGGTTTGGTTTGCTTCTAGAAGAGACTTTATCATGCCTGTCAGCCTTCCTCTTCACTGGTCTCTAAGAACTTGCTATAGGTATAGTAACCTTATCACTCTGTATAAATCTGAGTGGAAGCCCAACTGAGTCATACTCAAAAGGGGCCAAAAGATTTCTTTGGTGCATAGCAGTCTCTCCTTCACAATAAGAAAGTCACAAGTACATTTAGGGTATAATACAATTTCTGAAGGGAGAATAGTTTGCAAAGTATAGAGGCGTCTTCAATCAAGAACCTACAGGCTCTGGTGGGCTAAGATATGCCCATAGCCATTCTAGTAACTGTGGTGGAATGGTTTTATGAGGCTCCAGGAGACTGTCAAAAATATCTTTCCATCTTTGGTTTTTATAGGTTCATCTGTTTGTCTCTTTTATTACAATGAACACTGCCTCATGTTAAGAATATCAGGGTACTATGAATTCTCTTGCTGCTTTCTTTGCAGTTTTGACTTAGCTAAAGTTTTAAATGTACTCAGAGGATTATGCTAGAATAAAGCTCCTAAAAATGTATCATGAAATATTTTTACAGTATTATTCTCAATATGATGAAATTATGTTAAAGCCTAAGAAGGTACCTCTCTCACACACTTTTTTTGACTTTATTTTCAGAAAAAAATGATCTAAACTTATACATGATTTTTGGTTCCTTCTCATTGATACTCATTGTTAGTAACCAAATGGTGAAGCTACTTTATGCGGGTACTTGTCACCCACCAGAGAAACACAAGAGCAGACTCGTAATTAGCAGAATCCCACCGGACTTGCTATCTGTGCTTCTGGCACATTGATAAAGCTGAGATGTGAATCAAGGCCCCTCAGGACCTTTCCCCATAAGTCCCTTGAAGAAACTCGTGGTCTCTAAGCAACAGCTCAACTCAGTGAGCCAGGGCAAGGCTTGCTCCAATGGCCACACTAGGAACTGTGCTCGAAGAGTCTCAGCTCAGAGTTGCTCTGATATATTTACTAATGGCATGTCTACAGAAGATGCCGTGTGTTAAAGAAACCTAGAGGCATGAACCCTGAAATGTTGGATTCCAGGGAAGGCTGCCTTCTCTCTCCTCAGAAGGACTCAGTCATGTGCTCTTCTGCTGTGTCAGCAAAATTAACAGTGTAGAGTTTGGGTAATTTTCTTTTTATCCCTGAAGGCTTACGATAATTATTTTTCATGGCAACATTAACTCTTATGATTAGTCTCTTTATGAGGTTTTCATACCTATCTGAGTGATTTGGGGAGCGTAGGTAGTTGCAGTAAGTGCACATTTATTAAGAAGGAATGCATAACCACTTAACTCAGTAGACTCAGTAGTAATTCACTGAAAGGAGTTGTCAATCTGCTCACAAGCTATGGATCAGGGTGAATGAAATGTATTTTTTTTTTTTTTTGAGATAGGGTTTCTCTGTAACTTTGGAGCCCATCCTGGATCTAGCACTTGTAGACCAGGCTGGCCTGGAACTCACAGAGATTTGCCTGCCTTTGCCTCCCAAGTGAAGGGATTAAAGGCATGTGCCACTACTGCCTGGCTCAGGATGAATGAAATCTTAAGAGGGATCAGCAAAAAGGTACCCTTTTAGTAGATTAAGTTCGGTAGAACATTTTGCTATCAATGAAAAAGTCAGGTTTTCCTCTTTCTTGACCTTGACCTTCTGTTCAGAAATCTGATCTGTATTCCCTGACAGATATCTGGTTTAGGCACCTCACACCAGCTGAGTCAGACAGAGTAATTTATATTTTCACTCACTAAATTATGGTCAAAATATGTCTATGTTGACCTGAACTAGCCAAACTTTCTCTCTTTGAGAGGAATTTTCCATTTCCTTCCAAACTTGGATATTCTCATGTTGTAGAACTGAAAAAAAATTGCAAGCCAAACATTTTCTCTTTCCATCCCAACCAATCGAGCTCAGGGCAAGAAAAATTCAAGCCATGCAAGTTCTGATTCCATAGCAAATGCCAAGCCCCTGATGACCCATGCAAAAATTCCTCTGTGAAACTTAAAACATCTACTTTCATGTATCATTTGTTCTTCTTTTAACTGCAAGATAGCTGAGTTCATTTTCAGGGTAGCTTTGTGTCTTTCTCAAACATTTTGGAGTTGGAGATTACACCAATTTCTCAAGTAGCACAGATGGAAGAAACAGTCAATGACAAGGCAACATCAACCAGACAGGAGCGCAACGGACACACAGGACAGCTGGGCTGATAACCTTGTTTCCAAAATGCTTCCTTCTTGTGTTTCTGCTCATAATCCTCATAGGATCAGAGTGGGCTACAGAGATACTGTCGTTAACAGGGGGCCTTTTTCATTTTCTAACAGCACTAATTTAAAAACAGCTATTCAACATAATTTTAATGTGACAAATTAGTTTTCAATAATTTAAGTGAGCATATCCTGTCACCCTTAGCACATTTGATATATCCTAATCTGTAGATGAATATAGTAATATCCTACATACACAGACACACAGACACATAGACATACAGACATCCCCCCACACATACCCACACACACACTCGAGCTACAGGGTCCTTCTTAAAAGAATATTCTAATTTAACAGCCTCTTAATTGTCACTGGGCTTTTTTACATGGAGAGTTATGATGCCATGAGTAGCGATTACATGATTTGTTTCTGTCAAAATTGAAAAAGCCACAGAGCTTAGAGTGGGTCATTATTGTGTTTAAAGACAGGCCCTGTGTCGAAACAGGAGCAAACAGTCTTAAGGACAAATGTTGGTGACCCCAACCAGGCACAAACTAGAGTGGGCAAATTTCCCAGTGCCGAGGCTTCTGCTACTGTCAGACACAAAGAATTTTTCTTATTGAAATGATTGTTTATATTATTGGAATCTTTTGTAAAACATAGATTTCCCCCATAGAAATTCAATAAATAAAGGACTTAACCACTGAATCAAGGAAGCAGAACTCCAGTTTTTAACCGTTCAGTTGGGACTAGGCCCTACCAATGTTAATTTGTACCGCAATTGATCTTCCAGGATACACAGGGTGAAATGACCCCATGGAAGGTCCAGGGCAGACTGTTTTGCTGGTCAGTGGTGGCCTCTGTATGTCACTGAATCAGACTGGAGCTATAGCTGAATCCATAGCTGCTGGACCGAGACAATGGTGGCTGAGCCTCTTCACTCTGTTCTGCAGCATAACTTGGAAATGTCTGTGCCCTGGACATCTTTGATGAGCCAAACCCATGACCTGGAGAGGAGGAAAGGAAAGCTGTTCTAAGAAACACATCAGAATTAGGAAACGGTATCTGTAGAAAACAGTACAAACAAATCTAACCGAAGACTTCAAACCTACATCAAGCTTATAAGAAGAATGACAAGAATCTAGGCTTTGGTATCCAGATTTTTTTTTAACTCAGTATTGGGAATTAAATATAGGGCCTGTCATATGCTAGTCAAAGTATTTAACCTAGCTCTCTTTTTTACTTTATGGTACTGAGTAAGCTGCCAAGGCAGATCATGAAGTTCTGATCCTCCTCCTTCAGCCTCCTAATTAGCTTTAATTACAGTCTGTGCCACCATGTCAGGCTTTATTTTCTTGATCTTGATGAGATAAGAAAATATCCAAGAATCAGTATTTTTCCCAACTACATCTTTCCTAGAATTATGGACATCCAGAGAGCTAGGCTAATATAAACATTCCCTTCTTCAACCTTTGAAATGAGAGTAGAAATCCTTTCCCTAGAAAGATACTTCTGACAGAAAGCCTGTTATTTTTTTTACCTTCCCTTATATCTTATATTCAATTTTTAAAACGGAAAAAGGAAGAAAGAAAGAAAGAAAGAAAGGAAGGAAGGATGAAAACTAATGGAATGCTTTCTTTAAAGCATCTGGGACCAGACACTTTGGATTTTACCCTCATCAGTAATAACCAATTACCAAAATGATTTTACAGTAATAGATTAGGGATTCTAGTTTCTTCCAGGAACTTAGTGATTCCCTTTAACTGATGAATATCTTGGTTTACCAAGGTAATCTGCTTCAATGCTAGCAAAAGTGACTAAAAAGTTGATTCTTACACAAAATATACCCCAAGAAAATCCTGCACATAAATTTGGCTGCTTAGCTGATACCTTGTGATAAAAAATTTTCTAATACCAATCGAAGCAAAAGTGATTGCTTAAAATGTGCCAGAATGTTCACAATGTGCAAAGAGAAAGACACACACACACACACACACACACACACACACACACACATGCTTTAGAAAGACTTTCCAATAGTTGTCTCACTCTTTTTATATCCAGTATTCTTTGTGCTTGAGGGTGGTTTGTACCTGGTGATGGAAAGGAAGCATGTAGTGAGGCAGAAGAAAAATAGATCCTGTATTGCTGCCCTTTCAGAGTTTATATTGTACTCAAGAGATGAAATGCAGTTAATTTGATTTGTGCTTTAGTTGATCTTTTGGGAGAAGAATTCAGAGAACACTATCTATTAACATAGAAACATGGGGCATCCATTGTCATAGCCCCTTTGTGGCCCTGTCCTTTGCAATGTCATAGGCTCAAAGCCAGTTTCACTGCCACGTGCTTGATGACTCCCAAAATATCCTTGCAGTGTGGAAAGCTTGAGATCCAGGAAGAAAGCCCATAGGAACTGAATAATTAAAGAATAATTAAAATCGGTAAAACAGCCTAAATGTTAAAAAAAAATTGTGAGATAGAAATCTTGCTTTCTAGCAAGAAATTGTTCTAAATTTGCTGGTCTTATTTTTCTGCTGACCAGGGATTGGGAAGAACTAGAGACTAGTTGCTTGTATAGCTTGGAGGAGGAAGAGTGGAACAGCTTTCCTGTCCTTCTTGGGGTGTCTCTTGTATCAGGTACACTTGAGCTTTTTGAACCTTTTGCTTCTACAGTTCTTCCTGTAACTGAATCTATGCTATGGTGTGATACACTAAGCTGATCTGCGTCGATAGCTACTAAAATGGTCTGAAAGCTGAATTGTTGACACTGAAAGTCCTGTGCTCCTATTTTCCTCCCTTAGTGTGTTCATGCTTTAGGAGAGGTATCATTACACTTGGTTCTGTGCATCTGCCTCACTTGCCGTTAGCTACTCTACTTTTGCCTATAGGTCTCTCCATTAAAGTACTGTAAAATTTCAGGTAGATGCATCTGCTCTTTCCTCCTGAGGACTCTGATTGGTGTGGGAAGTCCTGTATATGTGCTGCTTTTATTGGTTAATAAATAAAGAAGCTAGCTTGGCCTGTGATAGAGTAGAGTAGAGCTAGGTGGTGGTGGGGGGGAGAACAGACTAAACTGAATTGTGGGAGAAAGAAGGCAGAGTTAAGGAGATGCCATTGAGCTACCAAAGGGAAAAGATGCAAGCCACCAGCTGTAACATTGCTGGTAAACCACAGCCACGTGGCGATATACAGATGAATGGAAATGGGTTAAATTAAGATGTAAGAGCTAGCCAATAAGAAGCTAGAGCAAATAGGCCAAGCAGTGATATAATTAAAACAGTTTCTGTGTGGTTATTTTGTGTCTGGGCAGCTGGAAGTGAACAAGTTCCCTCTTACTACATCTGATAATATAAAAAAAGGAATTATGAAAATGAAGCAGAGAAACAAGAAAAGCGGGGAGAATTCTGAGAGAGGTGGTTGATGAAGGCCATCCAGGAGATGTTAGAGAGTGATTATGGAAAGGAAACGAGAGAACTTCAAGGAGAGGATCAAAGTTAAGAGAGTGTTAAAGGGTTAGGATTGTGATGGCAGAAGAGGCAACACCAGTCAACATGCTGCCTCAGCTTCTTTTTTATCAGTTGTTAATTTGAGAGATATAACCTAGCTCTGGATTTCTTGGTTTCTTGATCTGAAATCAGATGATGATAACAAAGGTACTTAACTTATATTGTGGCTTTAAACAAAGGATTTTCCTTTTAATTCTATAATATTGAGCATAAAAAGCAGATAAGACAATAGATATTTACCAAAGTTCAACTAAAAAAAGTCTACAGGAAACAGCATGTCTGTAGAGGGGTCCTGACCTTACAGAGCTGATCAACTGCCTTGAGAAAGAAGAGCATACTACAAGTACCAAGTGCATGGTTTGCTCCGCTAATGCTAGACAGAACGAGAGGAGAGGTGGGTAGTAAACTACACTTGTCAGTCCAGCTCTCCTGACTGCTTCCCCTTCACAGATAAACAGTGTATTTCTCACTACTACAAAGGACTTCAGAGACAAATTGAACTTTGCTGTAATTTTGGGACCTCATTGTCCCATATGGGGAGGGCATATTCTACATAGGTGTTATGGAAAATAAACAGATTGACACATATGATTGGTGAAAGCCAGAAGAAACTGAAGATATGTGCTTAATGCTAGTTTTCTTCCATTTTTCTTCAAAGAGTGAGCTCACATTCTTGTCATTCTCTGCTCAGCATCCATATTCCCTTACCATTTTAATGTGCTGCCTCTTTTTATGATATGTTTTGAATGTTATTCTCTTTCAAGGTCACCAGTGTGGTTTTTTTTTTTACATACTCTGTGAATCATTTCTGGTTTAATTGGAAATTAGTTTATGACTTTCTTTTACCTCAATTTTTCTTTACTTCAGAGAGTTCACAAATTATGCTAATCAACAAAATAACATACCTCAGTCAGAACTGAATATATGAAGGTTGTTTGATAAAAACAATAAATATGAACAAAGAGAGAAATAATTAGGCCCTTTCTCAGCATCCATTGGAATCATGCCCTTAGGCAGTGTTGATGAAAGCAACAAACAACAAACATAAACTGTGAGGCTTAAATTAAAAACTCAGTGGACGGACTGATATTGAGGTCTTTAATCCATTTGGATTTGAGTTTTGTGCATGGTGATAGATATGGATCTATTTTCATTCTTCTACAGATTGACATCCAGTTTTGCCAGCACCATTTGTTGAAGATGCTCTCTTTTTTCCATTGTATACTTTTAGCTCCTTTATCGAAGATCAGGTGTTCATAGGTTTGTGGGTTAATGTCAGAACAATTGCAGTGGGTTTTTGATCCTACTGCACGTACTGGCTTTGTGGGAGCCTAGGCAGTTTGAATGCTCACCTTAGGAGACCTGGATAGAGGTGGGCAGTCCTTGGGCTTCCCACAGGTCAGGGAACCCTGATTGCTCTTCGAGCAGATGAGGGAGGGGGACTTGATCGGGGGAGGGGGAGGGAAATGGGAAGCGGTTGTGGGGACGAGGCAGAAATCCTTAATAAATAAATAAATTAAAAAAAAAAATAAAAACTCAGTGGAAAAGACCTGCTCATCCTAGTGACGAGGAGTCTAGTGAAGCACTTTGTCAGTTTTCCCCCAGTTGGTTATACAAGCAGATACGTTGAATATACACTAAGAGCATCTCCACAGTTCTGCAAATTAAAAGCAACAGATCTGCTAACAATGATAAGTCTATTTTAAAAATCCTCTTGAATTTTTATTTTCCTTCTAGCTTTAGTAGTCAAGTCTGCTTTACTAGAAAATGATATTTTTGTTCAAATGTTCCATGTTTCTAAGGTGTTGATGACTATATTTACCCAGTGGGTTCAAATATCCTCTGACATGGTAATTGTATGTGCACCTACCAAACCTAATCTGCTTAGTTTCACTCTAGAAGCAAGATTATATGTTTGGTATAGAGTCATTTAGTTCATTTGCTTTATTCTAACAGCATTATTCCGGGAAGTGAAGAACATCACATAACAATAAAGATACAATGAATGCCTACTTTAAAAGGAAGCTTCCCTGCTGGATCCCCAAATGCCCAAACTAGCAATGAAGTGGAAAGAATGCAAATGTAGTAGAAAATGGCAGCCAAGCTGGAGTGCTGGAGCCAGGATTCTTTTTTTTTTTTCCATTTTTTTATTGAGAAAAGGAGAAAAAAAAAAACAAGTTTCCACCTCCTCCCAGCCTCCCATTTCCCTCCCCCTCCTCCCACCCTTCTCCCCCTCCTCCCACCCTTCTCCCCCTCCCCCCACTCCTCTCCCTCTCCCTCTCCAGTCCAAAGAGCAGTCAGGGTTCCCTGCCCTGTGGTAAGTCCTAGGTCCTCCCCTCTCCGTCCATTTCTAGGAAGGAGCCAGGATTCTTATGTAGAGAAGCTGAGGAGAGGAAAGGAAGAAGACAAACATGATGCTCTCTTCTGCCAGTAATTAAAAAGTGTGTTATCAGCAGTTTTTGCTGAACTTCCCCAACTTGACTGACATCTGGTTTTCTACT